CTTTTGTATTTCATATTGTACACTCAAACATACCTAAGATAATCATAAACAAAAGAGACAAAATATCTCCGTCAGCTAAATAATGTTGTATTTGTCGGTCCCCAAATTCATGTGGGAACATACAATAAGATATCATTTGTATTGTATACGACAATACCAAAAGATATTCGTGTCTTCTTGTTAAATACACAACAACAACAACAAACTTTATCCCACTAAGCGGGGTCAGCTACAAAAATCTTTTTTCTCCATTGCGTCCTATTGACTGTCATATTTTCATTTAATTCTAATAACATGAATTCTTCTTGCCAGATACACAATGTTCACAAAATCAAGCTTGTAGGTGCTCACTTCTTTGATCAATCCTTATTTCACCAAAACCTGAAGTCTCTCTAGCATGAGCTAGCCGCATACGCCACAGCACAGTGACGTCAGAAGAATCATCAACAACAATAATTATTCTAATCACTACTACCCTGAAGAAAGTAAAGATTATGATGACGGTCTCCCTTCATAAAAATCATTGCTCCACGACATATCCTCAGAACTCCTGTCTCAATAACTATCTTGTAGTCCTTGGACTCTAAAGCCCTATCTGACAACAATTTTTTCATGATATCTGAAACATGTTTAACATCGATCAGATCCCAAATAGTATCAACATGCATCCTGATAAAAATACTCCCTATGCCAATAGCACAATAAGCTTAAACATTTTTCATAGTTATTGCACCACTATCCATCTCTTTAAACGTACAAAACCACACTTGATGAGAATAAATGTGTTAGATAACACCTTGTGTCCTGAATTAAGCACGAAGTATCTGTAAATAAACCGTGAGAAACTGTAGATAACGCACATCTAAATTCGTATTTTCATATCTTTCCATAATGGTATTGGTTTTCACCTCAGATGCAACTTCCTTCTCCTTCTCCTGTAGCTTCGGACAATCTTTTTTCCGATGACCAGTCTCTAAACAGAAATCACACTGATTTTTCCCAAGATTACGCCTACGAGATTTGCCCCGCTTTTGAGAAGTGTCGACCTTACCACTTTTTTTTGTCAAATTTTTCTTCTTAGATAGTCCAAACAACAATAAGGTTCCAAGAGATATGCTTTGGAGAGTTTTTAAGAAGAAAGGTGTTGATATTACTTATATTCAATTCATTAAAGATATGTATACTAGAGTTGTTACTTGTGTTCGAACTGAAAGAGGACTGACCAAATATTTTCCTATCTATTTGACCAAATATTTTCCTATTTTTGTTGGATTATATTAGGGATCGGCTTTAAGTCAATATCGTTTTGTTTTAGTTATGGATGGTCTTATTGGAAATTTACAGAAGGATTACCATGGTGTATGCTTTTTGTTGATGATATCCTTCTTGTGGATAAAACGAGAGAAAAACCACAGGAAAATCTTGAATAATGGAGGTTTAGATTAGAGTCTAAAGGCCTTCATTTGAGTAACTAAAACTGAATACATGGAATGTAATTTTAGTAGTAGTAGTTCTATTGACATAAGTGTAACTTTGGATGATCAAATTATTAAAAGATGTGAAAGATTTAGGTATCTCAAGTCTGTTGTTCAAAGTGATGGTGATATAGATTGGGATCTTAATATTAGAATTCAAGTTGGGTAGAGGAATGCTTCAGGTCTTTTGTGTGATAGAAAAGTACCGCTTAGACTGAAAGGAAAATTTTATAAGAGTGTCGTGAGACCTGCAATGCACTATGGCGCTGACTGTTGGCCTTTAAAAGAGAAGCATAATACTAAGTTAAGTGTTATCGAGATGAGAATGATCAGGTCGATGAGTGGCTTTACACTTAGAGACAAAATGCGAAATGATTATATCCGTGATAGGGTTGTTGTAGCTCCGGTGACGGACAAAATTGGAAAAAGTAGTCTTAGATGGTTTGGTCACATTAAATGTCGATCATCTGATGATCCACTTAGAAAAGTAGATGTTTTAGATTCGACTTATGTTAAGAAAGGCAGAGGTAGACCTAGGAAGACTTGGGCTTATTGTATAAAAAATGATCTTAATTTATTAGAACTAAATGAAAATAGGATGCAATGGAGAAAAAAGATTCATGTAGTCGACCCCACATAGTGGGATTAAGGCTTTGTTGTTGTTGTTAGATCTGGCACGTTGGAGTGTAAATGTCTTAGTTGACTCCGTCTTTGTAGACTCCTTATCATTTCAACAGAACTCGTGATTCAACAATAATATTGCCACTTTGCAATAATTCAAGACTTCATTCCCATGAAAGAATGTCATCGTGAAATTTTCATACTCTTGGAGCAAATTCAACAGAAAGAGCCCCTTATTTTTATTTGCAATCTCATCATCCAAATTTAACAGATCTGCTAACAATTTTGTGAAGTCATTCAAGTGTTTATAAATAGTAACCCCCGTTTCATTTGAAATTTGTAGACTCGACACTTCATATGGAGACGGTTCTCCACACTCTTTGTGAGATATTTTTTCAACATCCTCCATAATTTCTATGAAAAAGTCTTCATCATTACCTCATATTTGATCTCTTAGGTCAGGGAATTTCGAAACAAGTCACAAACACTCATGTTCATCTTCAACCAATTTCTCTTTGACATCTCTTCAGAACATTCCTTGTTATCCAAGACTTCCTCTAGATTCAAAGAGCACAACTCATTAATCACCTCGCATTGCCACATTATAAAATTTCATTTGTCATCGAATTTTGTCACATCGATTTTAACAGGAAACATAACCATCAAATAAATTGACTTTTGCACCGTCAGAGAGAACGTTGAAGAACTTGACCTCATGCTCTTATTCATTGCTATCACTGTTAGAATTTCTTTCTTAAAAAAAATATTCCTCTAACATAATACCTGAAAAATGAAAATACGACACTTAATAGGACAAAATGGAGAAAAAGGATTCATATAGCCGATCTCACTTAGTGGCATAAAGGTTTTGTTGTTGTTGTTGTAGAATACTTGAAAAAAAAAACAAACATACAAAAATATTCACCAGAAAAAAAGAAAGTAAAAATGAAAGTTTTCATTTTTTCTTCCTTTTTTTTCCTGAAAATTCTTTTTTAAATTTTTTTTCTCTTCTGAAATTCTTTTTTTCATTGAAAAAAATTCTTGATTTTTGCTTTTCCCAAAATTCCTCTGTTTCACTTTTAAAACTTTCCTTTTTTTTTTCTTTTGACAACTTTACAAACGGGCAACAACCTCTACAGAACGAAAATTCCTTCTAAAAAAATTCTTTTTTTCCTTGCTTTTCCACGAGAAGCTGCCGCTAGAGCGCCTAAGCTTGTTGGACCTTGCCAGAACCGTTGTCCGCCAATAGTCTGTCGTCGAAGCTACTGCCGGAGTAAAAACTCAGCAAACATCCTCCTTGAGCAACACCTCTGTCAGCTCGCTGAATCTTCGAGTATAAGTCGTCGGTCTACTCCGACCACCGAATCTGTCGGCACGTCGAACCACCTGTTACAAAAAAATACCTACTGTCGAGATCGAACCACGCTCTGATCATGAACTCAAAGCTTTGATATCAATTGTTATGCGAAAACAATGTACAAATGAAAAAATTCACACAGCAACAATCAAACACAAACTATTTACATGGTTCGACGTTAATTTGATCCGCCTACATCCACGAGGAGGGAGATTTCACTAGCGTCGGATGAGAGAAAGAAAAATGATTTGGGGTTACAACTTCTCAACATAACTTCATCATGAACATTGAGTCTCTTTTATACAGGAGAATTAAGGCATACACGTAAATAAAGATAAAAGACAAAATTACCGTTAATTACAATAAAACCCATAAATATACAACACCAAGTCGAGAAAGCTTTACTCAACTTAGTTTCACACCCAACTCTAGTGTTATAATTAAGTGTGTACACAAAATAAATACTATCAATAATCTCAAAGAAATCCAATGGACAATAGGTGCAAAGAAGCAAAATACAATATTGTCCACGAGCGGAAGATCAAAGGTCCATCAGCAAAACACCAAGGTTTAGCACCAAAAGACTAAGCATCAACTAGCGAAACACCAAAAGACTTGTCTGACTAAGTACAACCCCCTTTAGCTTGGGGTGAAGGCCGACCAAACGAAAATTGATCGAGCAATAGTCATCCGAATCAAAGCCCATTTTAGCCAAATAAAGGCACTGATCTACCTTCGATCATGACCTTATTCAAGGGAATGATGGAACATCACCAACTATCTCAATAGTACATCCCGAAGGATCCCTTATGTCGGGTAGTAAAATTTTAATCGGATTACGGTAATTTATTCTCTGCCTGTTAGGCTAGTTTTATCTCATCAACAAAAGTTCCTCATCCAAGGATTCATGGCCGACTGCCAGTCGGAGCAACCGGTCAGCAGAATCTGACCAATCGAGCCAACTTATGCCGGCTAAAAGTCCAATTGAAGGCCGATCGATGATCCCAATTCCTAACAGTAGGGCGAGCAAGTCCTACTGACCCAAGGCCTATTATCTTCGAGCCGATCGAACCATAGGGCGAGTAAGTCCTACTGACCCAAGGCCTATTATCTTCGAGCCGATCGAACCATAGGAAAACCAATCTGCGAGTTTGCACATGTAGAATACCCCAAGTGTCCTTGTAACTCCCCATCAAAGTAGGGGTAGGGATGTAATTCCCATATTGTACCCCCAACCTCTAAAAATAGGGGACTATTTCATGAAAAATCCACTCTCTTGTGTCTCTCTCACTCATTTCATACTTTTTATTCCTTACGTGTGATTCACATGACAATATCAGATTCAACAAATTGGAAGTCACATTCCACCTTGAAATTTAGGTCTCCCAATAAGCCAAAATGAGCAATCAAAGTAAAAGCATGCCCTAGTAAATCCATGCGTCAAAAGGAACATTCCTTATTCAATCATGTGTATTAATTGAAAATAATGGAAGCATTAGAAAAAACTCTTGAGTAAACCCTAAAAGACATGGGCGGCCATTGTTTACCCTTTTGACTTGGCCAAAAAGATTGGGATCAGAGAGGAGGTCTCGCATCTTGGCAGTGCGGGGGTGGTGCATCCACATAGTTCCGTCCATAATCTGGACGTCATTAATCTGGCAGACCTCGAGAATCCGATCAAGCTCCGCGGTATTAAGGGCCGGCGGCTTCTCGACAAGCACGTGCTTGCCCTTGCCGGCGGCGGCGATAACCCAGTGGGCGTGAAGGCTCGTTGGAAGCGGAACGTAGACGGCCTCGACGTCTGGATCGTCGAGCAGAGCCTCGTAGCTGCCGTGAACGCGAGTAGTCGCCGGGAGGCCGTTGTCGGCGATGAACTTTCGGGCTTTGTCGGGGGATCGGCTGCCGACAGCGACGACGGTGGCGTTAGGGGCAATGCCGATGGCGCGGCAAAGCTTGCGGGCAATTTCCGCGCATCCCATGATCCCAAACCCTATCGGACCCCCCATCGCCTGTCTCTCTTCGATTCTTCCCTTGCGGAAAAGATGAAATTCAAATAGTATGCAATAGAGTGATGTTATCGGCACTGTACTTTGTCTACTGCTACAAATAAAACCGGATTAAATTTGTCTTCTTCAGGAAAAAAAATATATATACATAAACAATTTTTTAATGATAGGATAAAATTTCCATAAAAAAATGATAAGGATAAATTATAAGATAATTGTTTTAAATAAGTGAATTTTAAACATTAGAGTAATTTCTATCAATATCTTTTAATTATTATTGATACACCACCAACAAAATTTCATCATCCAACATGAATCTCGAGACAATATTTTGAACATGAAATATTCAAATCTTGATAAAATGAATGACCTCTGATTTCAACAAACTTATGAAACGGACCCAATGATATAAAAACTAGTTGATTTGAGTCAGATCAAGCCCGGATCAAATCATTAAAACACTCTGGGAGGATTTCCAGAGGCATTTAACAGATCAAACAGATGTCAAATCTAACGAGTTCATAGTCAAATCAAGCGTCTCGACAAGAGGAATCCAACGAGCCCAATATTGCTCAATTTTGACATCGTTAAGACACTCAAATGTCAATCAAACGTCATCCGATTGAGGGAAGCTCTACGGGCCGTCCGATCAAAATGGTTCATATTCATGCATTAATTGCATCCAAAACACTATAAATAGAGTCTCATCCCTTACATAAGGGGAGCTCCACCTCCTCACATGAGAGGGGGACTTGAGAGAGAACTTGAGGTTTTGAGAAATAGTTTAAGTCCAACATTATCTATGTCATCGTCGATCGTCGTCGACCACCACCGACCGTCAACGACCACCGCCGCTGACCACCAGCGATCGTCATCAACTCTCATCGACCACCGCTAACCAAACGTCGTCAGTCGACGTTGTACCTAGAAAAATCTAGTAACTCTTTCTCATCTGTGGGACAAGGGGATCATCAAATTATGGTGGATTTTTATAACTGGGTCAGGCCCCATGGTTTTTTCCCTTTATGGGTTTTCCACGTAACAACTTCTGGTGTCATCACGGGTTATTTCACTTTTTCATCTGAGTGTGTGTTGAATATTCGTGTAACGTTAAGACGATAATCCTTTACTTTACTGCCGCAAATTTTCCAGCACACATCAATTTGGCGCCGTATGTGGGAAAGTTTCAATCCCACAACTAAAGTACATACGCGGTTTAAGACATAGCCACCAGACACAATGTTCGTGACAACGGAGCATCTCGCTCCTACACCCATTGTTCCAGGGAACACTCACAAAGTCAAGGGCGACATGCTTCTTCATATTCCCACCCTGGAAGATGCTATCCTGCCAACGAAGGTGTTTCGGGTCCTTTCATAGAAGATCGAATGTGTAGAATAGAGGAATCTCAACTAGAGATCCTACAACTTCTACGCGGGGTTCAACATCTGCTGCCTACACCCTTAGATCCACGACGTACGAGAAACATACAGCTCGAAGGAACTCATACCAGCCCGTCTCCTTAAGAAGGAACAATTCCTCTGTGAGGTCATGATGTTGACCTCCTAGATATCGCAAGTTTCACTCATCCATCTCGTGCAACTCACCTTACATCGCTATATCTTCCTGCCATTACAGATAATGTCATTCGAAATTAACTAAGACGCCTCGTCCGGGAAGAGTTCCCCATAGAAAAAAAGTACCGCTTCTATGCTCATTGTAACATCCATGAATCTTCTCCCTTAGCGGATGCGGTCCTCCAATACCTCATCCCAACATGCTTCAAGCTTCTAAACATCGATATATATGAAGGGATAACCGAACTTACGAGCATATTAATCATTATCGAACTATCATGCACATTCAGCGTGCCTCTAATGTGCTTCTGTATTAAGTGTTCTCGGCTACTCTTAAAGGACAAGCTCGAACCTGGTTATACTCTCTGTTAGGAGGCACTGTAAACACCTTTAACGAGCTTGTCAAATTGTTCGCGGAGCAGTTCATTGTAAATTGAAGGATCATCAAGGATTCATCCCATCTCTCGAGAATTCGTCAAAGTGAATTAGAGTCGCTCAAAGACTACTTCCGCAGATTTTCTGTTAAAGCTCGTCAGATTTCAGGGGTGGATCCAGAGTTACTAAGGGGAGTATTCCTTGGGGGGCTCTGCCCATGACCTTTTTACTCATTACTGATGCGGGAGACAGTTCGTTCTTATGTCGACCTTGTCTATCATGTTGAGGCTCAAATCACTATGGACGAGGCCATTAACGCACATAAAGAGCAGTTTGAGAAATTTGGGGGAAAGCGCAAGAATAACACTAGAGATAATAATCAATCTTCACAACGGAGAAAGTCTGAACAATAGAGGAATTGCAATCTCCTTCCTCAACCTGCAGGCCAACAAATTGAATATCAACCCAAGAAAGAATATACACCACTCAACACGTTACGTGCTAACATCTTAATGACCATCAAAGATGAGCAAGTTGTTAAGTGGTCTCACCCCCTAAAACCTAACTCGGGAAATCAAGAACAATACTGTCATTTTTTTCGAAGTCGCGGCCATACCACTGAGACATGTAAGCTCCTTAGGGAAGAAATTGAAAGGTTAATTCAACAGGGGTATCTTGGTCGATTTATACAAAACAAACTAGCTGATAGCGATAATTCTCATACTGGGGGGGGGGGGGCAAGGCAACAAACACAAAGACAACAACATGGGAGTCACCCAGTCATGGGCGAAATTCAAACAATTGCAGGAGGCTTATTGTTGAATGATCAAGTCTTTGTCACTGCACCTAGTGAACCAATGCAGAATAAATTGTGCCTCAAACCTGTAACTTTTGATGATTTTGATTTGGAAGGAGTTTGAGTCCACCACCAAGATCCTCACGCCATTAGCGCAAGAATTGGTGAGCTCTGTTATAACCTAAATAGGATCCTGATCGACAATGAGAGCTTTGTCGATGTCTTGTTTTATTCAACTTTCCTCAGTTTGGGATTGACAAGGGAAAGACTTCAACCTGTATCCGGACCATTATATGGTTTTGATAATCTACCAGTGAGGGTCAAGGGAACAATAAATCTCCCTGTTGTCTTGGGAGATTTTCCCCGACAAATAACACACTATGTCCAGTTCATCATTGTCAAATCAGAATGGGCATATAATGTCATCTTCAGAAGACCACTGCAATCAATCTTTGACATTGTGACTTCTGTAACACGCTTGAAGCTTAAATTTCCAACCTCAACAGAGATCGGTGTCATACGAGGAGATCAACAGATAACACAATCATGCTACCTCAGGCAAGCTCAACCACACCCATCAGTGACACTTAGCATTGAAAACTTTGATCTCTAAGATGAAGATGTATTTCAAAGAGCTTCCCTCATGAAAGATTTGGTTCATGTCCCTCTCTCTAGTGAACACCCATCAAGAACAGTACTGCTTGGTTCCTTACTCTCTGATGAACAAATGTCAGAATATGTAGATATCCTCCAAAGGAACCAAGGTATTTTTGCATGGACCTCGGCCGGCATGCTTGGGGTTGACCCTAAAATAATCATGCACTCTTTAATGATATATCCAACCTTTAAATCGGTCATCCAGAAGAAGTGTAATTTTGCCCCATATCTCTTACAAGCTATTGAAAAAGAATTCAACAAGCTTCTCAAAGCAAAGTTCATATGGGAAGTACACCATCCTGCATGGCTGGCCAATGTCGTCATGGTGAAAAAGTATAGTGGTTCATGGAGAATGTGTGTCGACTATATAGACCTCAACAAAGCTTGCCCAAATGATAATTTTTCCCTTCCGCGCATATATCAACTCGTCAATGTCAGGTCTGAACATCAGATGCTAAGCTTTATGGATGCATACTCAGGGTACAATTGACATCGACTTTATATATACCTAAAAATACAAGAATTTGACACTACTACTAGAAGATTTAAACCCTCTGCAATGACGCAAAAAACTTGATGCAACTTTTAATATGCAATAATTTATGAACCCAGATTTATATATTTATGATGATTTTGTAAAGTCACAATTTCAAACGCAAGTATACGTATCGCTCAAGTAATACAGGGTTCTAGTGGAGTCCCGTTTATCGATCCCACAGAGAAGCGAGGTAAGAGGTCCTTAGTCAAATTCTAATCTACTACTATTAGTCCTTAGTTTGGAATGTCAATTAAAATGATGTTTTATCTAGCAACTGCTCCTAAATGCAAGTGTTAAATGTAAAGATAGTAACTATAACTAAATGTAAATATTATTTCTAAAGATATTTTTGGATGAATTGGTTTGGAGAATTTTGAGATATTAAAAACTATTATTCTTATGTAATGAATTGGATAATGTAAGGGAATGAGATGCATTAAATATTGTATGTGTCAAATAGAAGCAATCCTATTCTTTACCCTTTGGTCCCGACATAAAGAACATTAACAAATCCTTGCTTGTTTACTGAATCCGTGGCTAGGCTGGGAGGATACCGGTTCTCACTTCGGAGCTCCCACGTTCCCCTCGCCTGAGGGCTAACATCTCCGCTTCAGTACTCAAACAATAGGACTAAATTGGGGATTTTAGTCTGTCACCCTAAAATCTCCAATTCTACGCCAATCAAAGTATATTTCCCTATTTTTTTTGCATTCAACTCCCATGAACTAAATAATCCATGGAATCTGAATGTGGTTCTACTTTGTTGAGAATTACACAGCCCTCTTGGGTCTTAATGCAATTGCAACAAATTTTAACACTACAACAGGCCTCTATTGTAATGTAAATAAAGTGCAAGTAAAAATCATTACATTGATAATTAAATCTGCTTCTAACATGCATCACAAAATTCTAAACATGAATTCTACTCATTACAAAAGAAAAGTAAAATGAAAACAACGGCATAATCTTCTCATACCATTATTTTCAAACAAGAAGAGAGAGTAAGAGAAGCTCATCACATAGCACGAAGAAAACACAAAGGAAAACTTCATTTCATCAAAGCAAATCCACTAGATAAGTGTTTACAAAACCATAAGATAATGAAAAACACAATACTTAGCCTTTTCCCTTTGAAAGAAAGAAGA